AATTATGACAGAAGAAATATCTTTCACAAAATGTACTTGTGTACTCTACATAAACTATCTAAAAACTTCTAGTTAACATGTAAAGTTTAATATATCGTAAAAAATAATGAAACTTTAATTTTAAAAATATGCAGGTTGCAATCATATTATAAAGTATCTTACATAAACTGAAAGGAAAATCATTTTGTAATGACCCGCAATTAACCTTTAGTTTATGACACAATTTGCAGAAAATGTCAGTAATTTTTAACTATTACACCACATGCAGGAGAGAAGCAAACTCTCAAATTTGCATGACCAGTGCCAGTCCTCCTCATGTTGCCCGACAGGTAACTTCTTCTTTAGCATGTTCATGCTTATTCTGCCCCAGAGGTTTTGTCTTTATAAAAATTACTTAGCTCATGGTAAATGTATGATAGAATCACTAATGCAAAGCTTTCGGAGAGAACTAAACAAGCTTCAGTGGACCAAGAGGTGAAGAAAAGACACTGGCTTTGGATAGGACACACACTGAGAAAACCTGAGAACAATATGATGTCTTTGCACTGGAGCTCACAGGGGCACAGAAAAAAAGACCAAAAACACATGCAGAGGGAGCTAGAAAGCAAAGTTAGAAAGATGGGGAGAGCAACAGCGAAGGATAGAATGACTTGGCCTGAGTTGGTTGGGGGCCTATGCTCCATTTGGAGTTAGACAGGCAGAAGAAGAACGACTGTATTCAGCTAATTGTCTTACATCTTTTAATGTGTAAGATACCTCCACGTTTAAGTCACTCCCTATTTTTGTTTCTTTTAACAAGTCACCCCATATTATTTTTTAAATCTATAATTAGGAAATACATAATTTAAACACATTCCATGTATAAAATGACTTCCAATTTTAAACTTAAAATTTAGGGAAACATCATTTTATACACAGAAAAAAAATAACGTACTTGAAGTACTACTTCTTGAAGTTAATGTCGCTTGTCAAAAATACTTCAGACAGATTTGTAGTGTCAAGATTAGTCAGCTGTTGAGAAAAGGACAAACCAACAACCTGAATCTTGTAAAAACCAGAAGTTGATGAAAAACTATCAAGAACCTTGTAAAAACTAGTTGATGAGAAACTATAAAGAACCTTGTAAAAACTAGTTGATGAAAAACTATCAAGAACCTTGTAAAAACTAGTTGATGAGAAACTATCAAGATCAGTTTAGTGTCCGGATTATTTAGTGAAAAACATCAAATTTAAAGCAGTTGTCAAGACCAGTTCACAAGTGTTAACATTTGAGATTATTGTCAAGATTAACTGATTCCATCAAGTTTAACAAGACCAGTTCAGAAACCATCAAGTTCAATGTTGTCAAGATCAATTCAGAAACCATCAAGTTCAATGTTGTCTAGATCAATTCAGAAACAAGCTGGTTTAATGTTGTGAAAACAAATTCAGAAACTATCAAGTTTAATGTTGCTGTCAAAATCAATTAAAAAACCATGAAGTTCAATGTTTTTGTCCATGATTTCAAACATGAATATGCTAACGAACAATGCCATTTAAAAACTACAAGCCTACATTATTATTTAACTTTCTCAAAAATTAGAAAAAGCATCTCATGGGAAGGGAAAACAGCCATTCACAAGCACACAGGCATAACTCAAATTTCAACATGTACAAATGTTTAGGTGGGTTTAAATTGCATTACAAAAGCACTGGTGGTTTACATAATTAAACTGAATTTTACAATTGACAATGTGCACTGCCGAATGCACGACAGTTACAATGTGGCTATGGCAAGAAAACTACTGGCTGCCTCTTGATGTATGACATCTGCTTGGGTTCTGAATCTAAACTATTTGAGTCCCAGGGGGTTAAGCATCAACGGCCCAAGCTGTAGTCAAGAGAGACATAAAATCATCCCATCCTGCCTTCACTGGGCCTCTGGGTAGGAACACATGAACTTATGACGCGTTCCTTGGGACTCAAAAAGTTTAATTCCTAGTGCAGGTTCCGTGCCCCAGGATCACTATCTGCCCCTAGCTTTTTTGCCTTTAGCTCTTTCCTGTAGTACGGTTTTTTAAGAGACAATTATGTTAAATTGGCCATACATATCAGAATCAACAGTTAAAGCCATGACCTGCGACATTAACTTTTTTACTTATGCCACTGTCTACCTTCTGTCTACCTCCTGTCTTCAACTCTTCCTAGCAGTACGGCTTTTATGACACAATTATGGTAAAGTGAGCATAACATTAAAACAAAAAATAACTAAAGCTACTTCTTGTGATGTTAGTTTAGAAGTTGACATAAATGATATAACAATTCAAACAAGTAGCTTGTCAAGGGTACCAAAGATGGTACACATCAATAAGCAAAAAAACTGTTCATTACCACATATTGCAATATGCAGAAAAAAAAACTTAGAATAAAGTGGGAAAGAAACTGTGCACTAAAAAATGGCATTTATAATATGAGCAGCAACTGTACAAAGAAAAACATGGAACAAGCTGAGTATAAACACATCCTGCAAGTCAATGTGTGGTTTACTGCATCAGAATACAACTTGGCCTGTGCAAGAGTTGCAAAGAATGTAACCATGTAAGAATATAGTTACTGTGTAATTAAAAGTCTAACATTTACACAGATGATGAGATGACAAAAGGAGGTCCTAGTTTATTCCCGTGAAGCCTAAACTTTCCAGGACTGTTTTCAATCATCTAAAATCTAATACTGGAAAATACATGATGTCAGGAGAAAGTTTTCAACCCAGAGAGAGATTTAAAAAAAAAAACATGCACAAAATATAAATGATTAGTGAAGAGTTTGGATACAACAGCACTGAGCACTATGGACACAAAATAAAAGCAACATAGGTACAAAAGCAGATTAAGAACACTTACATCACACGAACAAAAACAAAATGTATCAAGTTACTGTTCACACAGTGTGGGCAAACAATAATCAATTTGTCAACTGGTTCTTAGTCAAGCCCTAGCATGATTCTTTTCTTCAGGGTGCTTGTAGTATCAGTCATAACTTAAATATAAGCCCTAGATAGAATCGTCAGCCGGATGGATAGATTTGGTTTATCTACTGAATTACAAAGATGTTCCAGAAAGATACAGAATGACTGTAATACAATGTAAGTATGTGTACTTGAATAAATATAGATTTTTTTAAATATGAAAAAAATCACCTGAAAATAAGGGAGTAGTCTTAGTGTTGTGGCTAGATGCTCACCGTTGGATCCGAAGGTCAGATGTTTGAATCCGAATGCAGCGAGTCTTTCATTCATGATCCTGACCCCCATGTCGACATAGCCTCAAATGCGTACCAGGCAAGTCTTGGGAAGTAAAGGCGGCTGCTGTGATGTTGACCACATCACCTTTCTATAATCTATTAAAAGGCTCATATGACAAATGTGCCACTAGCATGTAAAGCAGCAGTTCTCATTCTGTTGGTCGCGACCCCTTTGGCGGTAGCTGACCCTTGCACAGGGGTCGCCTAAAACCATCGGAAATAAAAATATTCACTTAAGTTATAAAGTAGCAACAAAAATAATTTTATAGTTGTGAGTCACCATTAAAGGGTAGCGGTGTTATGGAAAGTTGAGAACCACTGGTGTAAAGAGACCTTTTTTACTGAAAATAAACCCTAAGAAGTCTTTTCTAGGAAAGATCAATATAAGACCCACCCTTATCTTCGGGGGAAATATGGTAGCAAGAAAGAAATTTTGGCTGTTTCTAACATGTGTCAAGACACTGGACACACACAAAAACCCATCTCTGCTGCATATAAGCCAAGTTGTGGAGCAGACACATATTCAGCGCAAAAATACTAATGTAAATACACACTGGTGACATGTCAGCAAATGTTCACTCTGCTGTCTTCCTAAATGAAAGCAGGCCATCACAGCATTCTACTGTGCCAAAAGTTAGTGCATACACAGTTCTTGGAGGTTTTAACAAAAATGTAACTCTCCTGACAAGTGGGTACTGTCTGTGAGGTGTTGCGATGCACTGTCTTAGTTTTAGCTCGTTTATTCTGTTCAGTTCATAACAACATGTACCTTGTGACTGGCTCAACTCGGTGAATCCCAGACATGATATTATGTGTCCACAAATTATTTTACATTTGATCAGAACATATGCAGGAAATCAGACAACTTACACGTACATTTAGCTTTTCTGAGAATGTACAAATAATTTTGCACAGTGGTTATATTGCCTTTTTGACATTTAGTGCAAAATCTTCTGAAACTGAAAGAGTGACAACAATAATCAGGGACAAATCTTTCCAATGTGATCCTGTCACAGAGAATAACGACTTAATGATCAACCTGTATATGAACAGCATTTTGTCAATAAAAAAGAGGTATTTATTGTGTGTTTACCCATTCCTATCTTTTTTTTATGGAGCTGTTTTAACTCATTTAATTATCATTGCTCAAATTCACCCACACTATAGAGAGATCACATACTAAGATTTTCCTGTACACACATAGTAAGTTATAAAACTCTGTATTTTATATAATGCATCTGTTAATTATTACATTATTTTGCTAGCAAGTAGCAATTAAGATTAAGTTTAGTACAATTTAAACCCTGTTTTCCCACACCCAGGAGTAAAAACACTAGCATTATAAACCCAAACTTCACAAACTATAGACAACTGGTAGGAAGAAAGAAACGAGGAGGAGAAATAGTAGAAAAAAAAAAAAGCAGAATATGATACAGATTTAAAATGACACCCCAGAGATCTCATACATGCTTTCTATCAGTCAGCAAAACAAAAGCTAACAAATTTCTTGCTGTAACTGTACAGCCCACAGTACTATTGATCTCTCCTACACAGATGTAGCTCTCCGACAGTCTAGCTTTATGGCTGCAAATCTCATATTGTGATGATCAATGATTCGAGTTAACAGTGTCACACAGGAGCTCCGGTAGCAACAAGCCTTCCACTAGCTGTTGCCCACTGCTTGTTTGATAGCCACAAGAGAAGACACTCCCTCAAATGCTCTACTGAGTCTTCTCCTTCTTTTTCAAGAATGGCACCTTGCTCTGGATGCTGAGGGTAAAAAAAAAAAAACCAGAATATACAATCAATGAACTGTATCTATCCAGGCATCTCTCAGCCTTTCCACCCATTCAAATTTCCATTCTACCTGCCAATACACCCATACACACCTCTAACCATACAACCATCTACCAACTTACCCATACATCCACCTGCCTAGCTACCCAAACACTCATCTGAATAACTACATACTCATTAGCAATTAGTAATTTTTTACACTTTGCAATCTAGGCTGAGGAACTATTCTACCCATCTAATGGAACTATGAAATGGAACCTACATGGGGAACTGTCACTCGAACTATGAAATGGAACCTACATGGGGAACTGTCACTGGAACTATGAAATGGAACCTACATGGGGAACTGTCACTGGGACTATGAAATGGAACCTACATGGGGAACTGTCACTGGAACTATGAAATGGAACCTACATGGGGAACTGTCATTGGAACTATGTAATGGAACCTACATGGGGAACTGTCATTGGAACTATGAAATGGAACCTACATGGGGAACTGTCACTGGAACTATGAAATGGAACCTACATGGGGAACTGTCACTGGAACTATGAAATGGAACCTACATGGGGAACTGTCACTGGAACTATGAAATGGAACCTACATGGGGAACTGTCACTGGAACTATGAAATGGAACCTACATGGGGAACTGTCAATGGAACTATGAAATGGAACCTACATGGGGAACTGTCATTGGAACTATGAAATGGAACCTACATGGGGAACTGTCACTGGAACTATTAAATGGAACCTACATGGGGAACTGTCACTGGAACTATGAAATGGAACCTACATGGGGAACTGTCACTGGAACTATGAAATGGAACCTACATGGGGAACTGTCACTGGAACTATGAAATGGAACCTACATGGGGAACTGTCACTGGAACTATGAAATGGAACCTACATGGGGAACTGTCATTGGAACTATGAAATGGAACCTACATGGGGAACTGTCATTGGAACTATGAAATGGAACCTACATGGGGAACTGTCACTGGAACTATGAAATGGAACCTACATGGGGAACTGTCACTGGAACTATGAAATGGAACCTACATGGGGAACTGTCACTGGAACTATGAAATGGAACCTACATGGGGAACTGTCATTGGAACTATGAAATGGAACCTACATGGGGAACTGTCACTGGAACTATGAAATGGAACCTACATGGGGAGCTGTCACTGGAACTATGAAATGGAACCTACATGGGGAGCTGTCATTGGAACTATGAAATGGAACCTACATGGGGAACTGTCATTGGAACTATGAAATGGAACCTACATGGGGAACAGTCACTGGAACTATGAAATGGAACCTACATGGGGAACTGTCACTGGAACTATGAAATGGAACCTACATGGGGAACTGTCACTGGACCTATGAAATGGAACCTACATGGGGAACTGTCACTGGAACTATGAAATGGAACCTACATGGGGAACTGTCACTGGAACTATGAAATGGAAACTACATGGGGAGCTGTCACTGGAACTATGAAATGGAACCTACATGGGGAGCTGTCATTGGAACTATGAAATGGAACCTACATGGGGAACTGTCATTGGAACTATGAAATGGAACCTACATGGGATACTGTCACTGGAACTATGAAATGGAACCTACATGGGATACTGTCACTGGAACTATGAAATGGAACCTACATGGGGAACTGTCACATCCAACGACTGACGTCGATTACAAGGTAAAGCCACCGAGTCACCGATCACTGTTGAATGCTGCAAGAAAATGCTACTCAATGCCATTGATTCTGGAAGAACACTCAGACATAGAATAGCTACCTAAAGCAAGAAGACTGGGTACAACTCATCACCTAGAATGAAATTCTCCTCAGTCAATTACAGATATGTCTGAGCTAGAAAGTTCTTTCTTCTTCTTAATGCTCTTAATGGCTGTAAATAAACTCTGGCAGAAAGTCCTGGCTCTTTGTACATTTCTAGACTTTGGTCTTGTTCCAGAACTTGGGTTTTGCATGCACATCCACTTTACAGATCTGTTTTATTTGTATGCAGACTGTTGGTTCCCTGCCTCCCAGGCATATGCCCTCCAACTTTGAAGGAAACAATCCTAATTAGTACTAGCCTTTCATGAGACCTGCTTGTTGAGGAGAAGCTGGTACCTGGGTCTATTCTTTGTTCTCTAAAACGGAGCCCCAGAACCCGCACAGAGAAAGCAAGGAATGAACCCTAGAGTTTACGATAATAAGTAAGGCATAAACCATAAAACTATAATGACTGCAACAAATGATAAAAAGCAGAGATATCAGTATTTCAAGTGAACTGTTGTTTGGGATCTACTTACATGGACAAGTAATTGTTGATCTGTGCTTTGGCCACATGAATACAGTTGTCAATCTGAACCTGAAACAGCAACAATCATTACTGTCTGTTGTGCAACAGTGGTTTTCTTTTTTTTTTAATTTAAAATTATAAATGAACTTCATAATGAATGAACAAACTTCATTTTAAAAGGATAACAAACTGCGCAAGCAGGCCTGTCTTACAAAAGGCCCTTCCATCCAGTCAACTTTCACACAGGAGTTGTATGTGATCAATAAAGCACGTTATGTTCATACAATAATATGCAGAATATGAATACCAAGGAAAACAATGTACGTGCACAAACCCACTCACACATTCACTCACACACATAATACATACTCACACACACACCTATATATACATATATAACAACACAACCTTGCACTACATGGTCCCTCATTCATATGGACACATACTCACATATATACTCACACATATACTCGCACACACAGATACATAATGAATAGAGTAATGAGTTGAGCCAGGAACTGACATCACAGCAGTCGTGACACTGTCGTAAGTTCTTTGTCATAAGTGCTCTGTCCCCATCTTCAGCAGCCAGCACAGAGTTCCAATTCTGATGGTAGCAGCAGCCATCTGATTGTATGTCCACCTCCAGCCTTCCCCTTCAGTACAAAGTCTCGGCCCGATCTCGTTGTCACTCCCTGATGCACCATTATCTTCAGACCAAGATATTCTATTTGTGCCTCTGCACTGTTCACAGATCAACTTAGGAACAATATCAGGAGGAGAGTCAGCACAGAACCAGTACTGAACTTTATAGGCAGACAACAAACCAAATGGTTTGGCCATGTAATAAAATTGGCATCAGACAGGGCACCACAGAGAGCAATGCTATACAGATACAATGGTAACAGAGCCAGAGGTCAACCACACAGAAAATGGGCCGCAGAACTAACAGAGGCACTGAAAAGTACTTTAGAGAAGCGAATAGAAGGGCCCGTTCCAGAGATCTCTTTCTGCCCTGATGTAGTGAGGCATTCCAGGAGTAGAGAAAAGAAGAAAAAGAAGAAGCACTGTCCACCTCTCTCGCAGAGGACCCCGAAGACATCAAGCTTATGTATGATGCATTGATTGACTTCATTTGTGTGATAACCCAAACTAAATCCTGAAGCTTACATCAGTATAGAAAAAAATGTTAATCTTCACACGCCTTGTTGGATGGTGTAGCTGGCATTGCTCTGCAGAACAGTGTTGTGGGTAAATTCTCCTGATGGTATCTGTCACTGCCACTGTCTCAGGATCATTCCTCTTCATTCACTTGGTCTGCCTCTTTACTCTTTCTACCAGCAAGTTTTTCAGTGTCACAATGTTCTGCATTGCTTACTTAGTATTACCCGACCAAAGAATACTAATTATGTGTCCTATAGTTGTGTACAAGGTTCTACTTGTGGTATAGACAGTCAATATGTTTGGGTATGCTATGAGGAGAAATGAAAACTTTATGCTAGCACCAGCCTTGGAAAAAAAGAGCACAGGGATTAACCTGAATGGTTAGCTCATCATGCATTAGTGAGACAAAAACCTGATCCAAGATTAGTGACGTGTGAGAAGGCAAGCCATGGTCAACCACACGTATCAGCATCAACAACATTCCATTGTGCCACTATACGTCACATAAGGCTCTCAGAGTCTAGTCCTCCTTTCCACTTTATCATGTACATCAGGGCGGCATGCAGATCATTGTCAGCTGTATTGTATTAATAAGCTTTATATACTTGGGCTGTGGCCTCTAACCCTTGATGATCCCCATTTTCAAAATGTTGGCCCCTAAGTAAAATTAGTTGAAAACCCCTGCCGTACAGGTTAATTAGCCGGGATGCTAACTATTATGTAAGTTTCTGTAGCACATTTCTTTTTAGTGTGAGCAGTAAATGACTGCATGCCCAAAATTCCTCCAACTTTCTCAGTCAATAGCAGTCCTTCTTATCAGCATAGACAATGATGACACTCTAAAAAGAACCCCTGAACCATCACTTCAGGCACTTTGCAATCTTAGACAAAATAAACAATGCAGCTGTAATTCAAAGTCCTAAAACATGAGGCAAGTGTAGACATAAAACAAAAATGATAGACTCAGATACAAAGCAGGGATAAGAACCATGTAGACAATAACACAATATGAAGACACATGATATTCACAAAAGATAAGAGAAGCAGGAAAAAAATGCACATAGACAATGTCAAATAAAAACACATTACCTGGTAAGTTTCATACAACTTGGGCACCGAAAACACAAGTACAAGCGCTGGGAAAATAAGAACAAATTTTTCATTGGGTAAATATACAATTGTGTTTAAGAAATGAATAACAATTAAATAAATAAATAAGACATGATGGGTATAACCTTCTTACTTCTGTTTGGTCTCTGATTACTGATTTAAGAACCGATAACACAGCACGCCAGGCATGCTCTGTCTCCTGCAGCAAATGTTTTAAAGTGTAGATGCCAACTGTTCCTGCAGCACACTGATATACACACGTCGTTCACTTTCTCTCTATGTCCCTCTGTCCCTCTTTGCCAGATCCACTCCTAATACCTCACTCACACATTCTTACAGGTTATATCTAATCCCATGTCTTCTGTCAACATTCGTTCATATATGATTTTCAGTACGAGTATTACCGCAGCTATCACTTCTGCAGCCAGAAAATCGGCTCTTTCTTTCCTTCGTACTCCTGCATGCCCCTGACAGTATATCCACCTGATTCCATGCAATGCTGGTGTACTGATGCTTGGTATCCACTCATGCCACATTTTGTATCTGCATGTATAGAATAAATGTCACTGCACAGGGATTTCTCCAAGGGTGCTTCAGTTTCCTCCCAAAACCATTAAAACGAGGATATCATCACAGTTCACAAACCATTAACCCTTGTGCCCCTGTGAACGCTAAAGAAAAAACCGAGACACAATTCTGCTGAAATTCCAGGAGAAAAATCCTAAAATTAAAAAACAATTTTATGTAGGTCACTAACAAACTTGTTAAAAATTTATTTATCATTTGTTTAAACATATTATCTCTTCATTGTCTCTTTGGTCTCCCCCCATGGTCTAATCTCATTCCCTTCTTTTGTCTATCTGTTATCTGCCATTATCCCTATATGCCCCGACACTGTAGTTTATTAATCCTCACAATGCTAGTAATTATTGGTGATTTCAACAGACTGGAATTTTGTAATAGTTTCTCACTGTCTATTCTCTGCGGTTTGCATCTTTGAAGGGTACAGGGATTTGCCTTAAGACTGCATTCAAAAGTTTGTCATAAGGCTTCTCCTCTTTCAGTTGTACTCCAGGCTTTAGAACCATTCAGGACAACGGTACTTATCAGGGTTGTACATACTGTGATCTAAGTGTCTGTCTTGGATGCAGCATTTGATTTTAGAAGACATTGTGTTTCAGTGAGGTCAAAATTTATTTATTTATTGCCCTGTTGTGTCATTATATGTCACATAGGACTTGCAGTCTATTCCTACATTCCATTCTATCCTGTTTAATATCTTCAATATCATGGTTGGAATCCAGTTGAACACCTTTGGCCTCTCTCATCAACATCCATTTTAGGATCTCCTCAATCCCTTAATTTCTAACTTTAGCATCTGTTTGTCAAATCTCTCCTCATTTCTTCGCAGGATGTTTCCAATATAGCATCATTCTCTTTGACTGATGTTACAAGTTGTTGCCCAGACATTTCTCACATTTCTTTATTTCTCTGAAATTCATCCCAAATTATGTTCAACGTTCTTCTCAGGCATTTGTTTCCAAATGTATTAATTTTTTGTGCATGCCTTTAGTGGTTCTGCAACTTTCACAGGCACATGTTAAAATAGAAATAACACGAGTGTTGAAAATATGTAACTTGGTTTTAAAACTACAACCTAATTTCACATTTTGTTCAGACTTTTTAAAGCAGCTGATGCCTTGCCAAGATGTGTCATAATTTAATTATTTTCTTCTTCTTCTTCACGTTCACCACTATAAACTCTGGCGGAAAGTTTTGGTTGTTCATCCACTTCTGGACTGCAGTCCTGTTCCAGAACCTGAGTTTTGCGTGTGCATCCGTTTTACAGATTTGGCTTACTTGTATGCAGACTGTTGGTTCCTTGTCTCTCAGGCAGAAGCACTCCGACTTTGAAGGAAACTCCCAAATAGTCAACTCTTATGACATGCTTTTGGGTAGGCAGTGGGTCTATTCTTGTTTTCCCCCCACAATAGGGCCCCGGAACCCACACGGGAATTTATTATTTTAATTTCTCAACTATCAAAATTGCTACCTAAATAAGTAAATTGATCTGTTACTTATATTCCTTTTGTCTTTAGCGTTACATCTGCTTGATCTGTTATTGGCGTTTTCAATATATTTGTCTTTTTAAATCTTCTTTATATGGTGTGTTTTATTATGTTTGTCTATTTTCAACAACATTTAACACCTCATAATAATTTGGAAAAACTATGTGATCATCTTACCAATAATGATGAGTGCCATATCACTAAACCATGAGCCAATGTATGTCAGTGCCCACAGAAGAATTCCAAACTGTATGAGAAACGAGATAGAAATTAATCAATACAAGATATAGCTTCATCTGGCTAAAGATTCGACTTCACAGCATTAAAGAAAAGCCCATATTAGCTCTTGTCTCCCTCAACAGCCAGCGGAGAGTTTCCACACTGATTGTACCTGTTGTCATCTGCTTTACTTCTCATCTTGCACCCCCCTCCCCTGCCCCTCCCCCAAATCTTGAGTGGTGACTACAACTACCAGACACTCCCCGTTGCATCAACCGCACCAGATACGGGTTTTCAATATCTTCCATTTTACTTGTCACACTGTCCTAGTGGGCTGGTGCCTTTGCAGAACCCTCAAGTGAGACCAGCCCAGGCAAACTATTTGCCTGCTCCCTGCCACACATGCAAATTGGCCCAGGTAAAATTTCCATGCAACTCTCACCACCTACAACCTCTGAAATGATGCGACAACTTCCATACAAAGAAAACCTGACTCCACTTTCCTGAGCATGCTTTGTAATACAAGACTTTCTTTCCCCTGCTACGTCAGCTACCAATAAAAGGTGCTTTACAGGTCTCTTTGCCCACTCCCTGTACAATCAATCAGATGCAGTCTCCACAATAAAGGATGGCTGCAATGGATGTCCAACTCGCTCTACCTGTTGTCTTGGTTGTATACTCTTTCAGACTGCTGGTTGTCTATTCTTGATGTTGTCTGTCCACTTGTATCATTGTCTTCCTCTTCATTTCTTACCCTCGACCTCCAAAATGGTTTTTAAAAGAGTGTTGTCTGACAATGTGACCAAATTTTTTAATTATCTCTTTATTTTTATTTCATCAGTAATTCCTTTTTCATTCATTATTTTTCTAAAGCCTCTGTATCTGGTTGTTTCCGTTCCCTCCTTGTGTGTGCTCGCGCCCGCCAACACACGTGTGTGGGCATGCACGCATGCACACATGTAAATGTACCTTATACACCACACACACGTAAATGTACCTTATACACCACACACACGTAAATGTACCTTATACACCACACACATGTAAATGTACCTTATACACCACACACACACGTAAATGTACCTTATACACCACACACACGTAAATGTACCTTATACACCACACACATGTAAATGTACCTTATACACCACACACACGTAAATGTACCTTATACACCACACACATGTAAATGTACCTTATACACCACACACACACGTAAATGTACCTTATACACCACACACACGTAAATGTACCTTATACACCACACACACATAAATGTACCTTATACACCACACACACGTAAATGTACCTTATACACCACACACACGTAAATGTACCTTATACACCACACACACGTAAATGTACCGTATACACCACACACACGTAAATGTACCTTATACACCACACACACGTAAATGTACCTTATACCCACCCAGACGAATATGCCGCATAAACATTCAACTGACCTTGACTGAATCCACAATGTCCTCAATAAGAAACAGGTGACGCAGCTCCTTAGCAGTCGCATTGACATTCTTCAGGATGGTCTGGATGATGCTCCTGAGTCTCTCTTCATTTAACCCAATGTCTTTTTCCAAGATACACCTGAGTGTTTGAATTTAAAAAAAAAAAAATTTAACTATAAACTGTCCAGCCGAAGCAGCTGTTACTTCAACTTTCTGCCCCAAAGAATTGCACTCTAAAGCATCGGTTCTCAAACTGTATGCCAGGGGTGCTGGGGCAGTAACCAAGAATTTTTCCAAATCTGCTTGAGATCAACGAAGACATCACTTTAAAACAGAAACACAATGAAGGAAGCCAAGAAGAGTTCTGGATGCAAATGTATTCAGAAAACAATTTTATTGACACGGCTGCAGTGCATTCTTAACATTCGCTTACATTAAAAAACAAATACAGGAGCAACCTTGGAGTGATTTAAGGGTACAACTAACTAAACATAAAGAGAATAATGAAAAATTCATCCAAACAGTTTTATTCATCGCAATAAAGACACCTGAACATTACATTTGCACTGTTTTTCTAAAGTATTCAAACTGCTTTAAGCATAGGGGTGCCGAGAATTTTTTTTGACTGACAAGGGTGCCGCGGCGTAAAAGTTTGAGAAACCCTGCTCTAAAGAAACAAATGATTAGGTCCTGATAGTTTTTTTTTGGGGTGTGTTAACCGGCTGTAAATTCAGGCAGAAAGATCTGGTTGTTTGTTCATTCTGGATTTTGGCTTTGTTCCAGGACTTGAATTTTGTGTGTGCATCTGTTTTAAAGATTTTGCATATTTTTTTGCAGACTGTCGGTTCCTTGCCTCTCAGGCAGATGCACTCCGACTTTGAAGGAAGCTCCCAATTAGTTGACTCTTACAACATGCTTGTTGGGGAGGCAGAACAAAGAAAGTAGTTAGGATAAATTGGATCTGTCTGGGCTAATTCGTTTTAGCCAACACCTGCCTGTTCCTATGAAACAACTAAATAAAAACTAAAAGAATTTTTTTTTAAACAGTAGAAGAAGATGATTATGATGCACACAAGATCATCCATAACATTTACTTATTCCTTGAGTATCCTGGGAGCCATGGTGATGGAGCAGCAAGATGCTCGCCCACAGACTCTAAAGTCATGGGTTCAAACTCCAGCTGTGCTCACACATGTGGACACACATCAAAATGTGTTTCCAAAACAATGGTAGTCACCTAGACCATATTACATAATTAATGGAAACAGGCGAGAGAGTGAGGTCGACAAATTGCGCAACTCTTCTTCTTCTTCTTCTGCCTTTCTATCCCCCAATGGAGCATAGGCCCTCAACCAACTCACGCCAAGTCGTTCTATTCTTCGCCATTGCATGGAGCTCTCCCCATGTCCTCCCAATCTTTCTAACCTCGTTCTCCAGCTCTCTTCTCCATGTGTTTTTTGGCCTTCCTTTATTCCTATGCCCCTGTGGGTTCCAATGCAAAGACATTCTAGTTATGCTGTTCTCCTGTTTTCTCAGTGTGTGCCCTATCCAACGCCAGCGTCTTTTCCTCACTTCCTGATCCACTGGAGCCTGCTTAAATCCAAGTCCTTGCGCAAGTCACTTTCATCCAGCTATCACTACAACATTATATAAATAAAACTTTCCCTGTGTGGGTTCCGGGGCCCGGTTATAGGGAAACCAAGAACAGACCTACTGCCTGCCCAAAAGCATGTCGTAAGAGGGAGTTTCCTTTGAAGATGGAGTACAACTGCCTGAGAGGCAAGGAACCAACAGTCTGCATGCAAATGAGTCAGACCTGTGAAACGGATGTACACGCAACATTCAGGTTCTGGAATAGGACTAGAGTCCAGAAGTGGATGAACAACCGGAACTTTGGGCCAGAGCTTACAGCTGGTGAACGCAAAGAAGAAGAAGATAAATAAAACTGGTTTTAACTTTAAAATGTTTATGTATGAACACTTTTTGGGGCACCCTGTATATACACATGCATGACTCACTTGAACGGATGGCCATCGCCAGACTTCTGTACAGCATTCATAACTTTCTTGTAGGTGACAAAGCTGAAGGTGAGTGCCAGCACAGCCAGAGAGATGTATGCCACTACACTTATCACAGACATCAGGGCCAGAGACAAGAGGATCACCAGCAGGCTGCCAAAGACCACTCCAGTTTTCTTCACATCTCTCCAATAGATAAGGTCCTTAACTGCAAAACATAGATAAATGATATTTTAACTCTTTCAGAGCTGAAACTTTAGCAGCAGATACTCAAGCAAAAGTAAAGGACTCTTTTTTCATGCCTTCAGGTGTAGGGGGCATATAGGGCTAGACCTATATTTTATAGACCAATAGGCATTCTGTGGGTGATGTGGTCACCATCACGGCGGCCACCTTTATTTCTCAAGACTTGACCTAATTACCATTTAAGTAAGGATTGACCTGGAAGTGAAAGTATTTTCTTTTTTTAAAGTCAGGCTCCGTTTGGATTTTAACACATGGCCTTCGCATCCGCAGGCAAGTGTCCAGCTGCTACACCACGGTGGCTCTCTAGATATCCAATTTCAAGACATCATCACTATCTTTCACTTTTGCCATCAAGTGTCACTGAATGAAATAGCTTTAGAAAGGTAAAACGTTTGTGGGAGCCAAGTAATGACCTACAATCTGCAACCATGATCATACTGGAAGAACAGCAAGTTATAAACGAGTAGGAGGGTCCTGACCACTTATGTACTCAATGTTTGACACACAATGAAGATGATCTGTCAATTAACCAACTAAGTTAGTTGTACATGATGACTATGTTGATGTACTCTAATGGCACTAGGTCCATACTTGCTCTCTGCCTTTTCTTATTTTGCCAGCAACTGCTAAAATACCTTTCACTTATTTTGTAATAAAGCCGAGGTCTCCTTTGATCATGCTTGGTACAAGCCAGGCATATAAAAATTGAAACATATTTTTAAACATGATAAAACAAACATTTCAATAATTCTGGCTGTTCAAGCTCATCTAAACGCAGTCTTCAATTATTCATTATTATTCACAGTAGTATTTCAACAGCAATACGATGGATAATTAACAATATAACAGTAGTGTGGTTTTAACCTGTCATAATAGTTATCATATGACAGCAACAAAAGAGAGGAACAGTTCTCAAAAACTATATTAAAAGTAGAAGTAAAAGCCCCCCCTCCCCTCCCCCACGCCTTGTTTTCTAAAAAAAAAAATTTTCAGGCACACACACACACAAAAATGAAGGCTAAACCGCATAAACAAACAAACACCTTAGTGGGTGGGGCACATACCAAAGTTTCAATCAAAGAAGAAGAAACAGAAAAAGTCAAGGAAAGTGAGAAGGAAGAATAAGAAGAGTAGAAGGAAAATAAAGAAGAAAAAGAAGCAGCAAAATAGGGAGGAAGAAAAGGAGGAGGAGAAACATAAAAACATGCACAAAACTATACTTTTAACCACATTCATTCATCAACAGCATACATCATCTAACTTTTAAAAAGACCCCGAGTGTTGGTGCCAAGCCAAGAACAGCATGATTTCAAAACCATTCTGTACAAGAATTCCCAGGGAGCACAAAACACGGATGGGATAGAGCTTCATGTGATAACACTTTACAGGTGGAATAACTAGCGCTCTTCTTCTTCAACACCAGCATTTTTTCTCTCGTTCTCCCTCTGCCTCTCCTCCCCTCCAAAGTTCCTACAGTCACAATGTCCTCTAATTTTCTCCTTCTTATCACATGACCTAAGAATGTAGATTGTCTCTTTTTGATGTGGGCAATCAGTTATCTTCGTGAGTCAGTTTCTTTAAAAAAAATCCTCATTACTCTTTCTATCTGTCCAGGGTATTCTGATTATTCGTCCATAAAAACCACATCTCCAAAAACGTTTTCACTAATTTACCAACTGTTCACGATTCACACCCGTATATCAAGATAGAATTTATATAGGTTTTAAAAATTCTTTTTCTTGTCTCAACTGACAAAAGAGAGACGGCATAAAATATTCTTCAGTTTGTAAAATGCTGCCTTTGCTTGATCTATTTTACATTTAACTTCTTTAATACATCTTCCATCTGATGTTAGACGTATGTTACTAAGTATGCACTTTGTATAAACTAGATCACCACCGCTTGAATAAATCAAACACATGCAGAGCAGACTGTGTACTGCATAAACCAGTCATGCACCTTATGCTATGCACAAACAAGACATACTCACAGCAAACTGGATAATGCATAAACCGGCTCTCTACCTCACAGATAAATAGTCTGTCCAACAGCTGCTAAAGTCTTGAGGAAGTAAATCCTTTCTTAACTACAAAAGGAAGCTTGACTCCAATGCTTACTATTAAGTTACCTCTTCCAGCACCATGTGAATAAACTAGATTAGTGATCAGTGAGGATTATCATCAAAACACTCCGGACAGATCCACAGGTGCTCTGATCTCCTCTTCAGAAGCTCTATAGGTGTGCGTAAAATGACTGATGACTCCTGTTCCATGTCGATTAAACATCTTGTCCCCTTGGTAAAATCTTCATTTCTTGCAGCTCCAGGCTGCACCCTATGTCCACCAGCTTAGACAGGGATAGGGAGTCACACCCTTTGCCCGTAGTCTTCACTGTAAGTGCTGTGCATGTCACTGTTAACATTGCTTCAGTCCAGTACTGGACCAGCCATAGCAACTGCAATGTCTGCAAAATAATCTGTACACTCATCACCTCAAATACCAACATAACCTTGCACAAAGACACAGGTTAGGCCAGCCAATCACAAAGTGCTTAGTGTTACATTCCATTCATATCAGATGAACCCAGCCTGGTTAGTTAAGCATATTTACTGAGTCACTAAGTATAAACCAGACCTCTACCACCACGTGAATAAATCAGACACATGCAGAGCAGACTGAATTGTATAAATCAGTCATGCACCTTATGCAATGCACAAACAAGACATACTGAGAGCAAACTGTGTAATGCAAAAACCAGACACAGCAGACTGTCTAATGCATAAACCAGACATACCCAGACACAGCAGACAGTTTAATGCATTAACTAGACATACCCAGACTAATCAACAGGTCATAAACCAGACATACCCAGACTAATCAACAGGTCATAAACCAGACATGCCCAGACTAATCAACAGGTCATAAACCAGACATCCCCAGACTAATCAACAGGTCATAAACCAGACATACCCAGACAGATCAGATTAATCACTGGCCATAAACCAACAACTGTTTTGCAGTCTTCATGTTTAGTTTGACTTTGTATCTAGTTTTCTACCAACTGTGGTATGAAGTCACAAGCCAGCCCTCCTTAATGTAATAACATAACCACACGGGATTTTATAGTTTTCAGGGGGCATGGCTAAAAGAGCTTAAGCCTGGTTTAAGTGCACAATTATGAGTATTATGTGCTGAATAGCAACTAAACAGAATAGTATATAGACCCTGGGTCAATCTGGGAGCTAAGGCAAATGTCATAAAAACTGCTGTCAATGCACTGCTTTGTGTATTTAGTGCATGGGAAACCTGTGAGGATATTGCTGGACAGAGGCAGGTTTTGAAAATATGAAATGTATAAACAAACACTTCCAGAGAGAACGTCTACACATAGTCAGGGGGACCACTTGGGGGGGGGGGGGGGGGGGGGGGAAACAATAAACCGTAATACTACTACAATATTGGACCGTCCAGGAAAATACAGGAATTCTGTCTTGGGTGAATTAAAATGAAAGTACCCAAACTGATACACGCTGCTGGAGATAGCAGGTTGTGGAGAGGCAGGATCTCCCTTGCCAGTCGGTGAGCCAGTGGATGATGGTGATCAAAAAATGTTTGAGGTGAATGGATCGGTGTAAGACCTAAACCCGTCCAGAGAGGCATATCAGCTGACGTCAAGAAGCCAATAGTAAGTTGCGTGGTACAACAGAACGTGTATATGTTGTTTACAGCTAGTGTTACACTGGGACGTATTATGTAAACTAGAAAATGCCCGGGGAAAGAGGAGCTGTCAATACCGCGTGCCTGCTGTCAAACTAGCTGGCACTGAGCGAGTGCCAACTAACATTTCCCCCCGACCGAAAGACAAACAGTTCAGATTGACCGTATAGTTGTTATACAGCCAACCATATTGATCGGAAACCACCGCTAGCCGGCACAAAACTGTGTCAGCAGCGGCAAAGTGCAAATCTATGCTATGTGCCCATACAGTCTTCGCATGAACATGGCGATCCTCTAACGTATATAAATAAGCAACCAACGAAAGGACTTTTTTTAATCGGCGACTGGGTCTCTCATTGGCCGCTTGGTAGACGACTTCGTCGCTGGTCGGGAGTTTTTGCGTCTGTCTCCTTTGATCGCATCAACACTACAAGAGTTCTTTTCATGACTACTTGGTGGCGAGCAATGCTAAACAGTTTTACATGGCGCACAATGCTAAGCCATTTTTAAATATGGCACACATAAACTAGTCACAATTATAACCAAAAGCCCCCCCCCCCCACCCCCTTTCGGTTATGCTGGTTCAACATGACGATTTTTGTTTGTTCACAAAGCAAACCAAGCGAAGCCAAAGACCTTCACGCCTATGGTGCACGAAACACATACTGCTAGATCTACTCGTATATTTGTATTGACCGATCGGCACTTTGTTTCTCCGTGTTTTTTTAATAGACACTCTGTAGCGAGAAATGTAATCTTTTTAGACACTTTTTTTTTAGGAAAGGAATAAATAAAAGGCCTGACTGGGCCTATATGTTTATAGTCCAATTAGTACTCGACAGGTATATGGTCAACATCGCACCGCCATCCTTAACGAGTGCAACTTTTACAGACCCACGGGGATCGTTGCCACAGCTAAGGGGTTCGTGCTCTTTGTGACGCTCTAGGCAGGCGGCTAGCTGTTGTGCCCAGAGAAACACAGACACGTTGTTTGAAATCCAGCGCAATGAAGTCGATCCACTGGACTTTCATCCACAGTAGTTTTTTTTTCCCGCTGCTGGTGTGTCAAGCACTAGGACTAGGACATACAGGCTTTCTCCGACTTACGACCGAGTTCCCTTTCGACGAACAGGTCGTAAGTCGGACATATATAGATATATTTGTAACACTCATTTTATTCAAATAGGTTATATAAAATTGTACATAAAACAAACAGCCAATCTATGCCCTGCTACGATCTAGACAT